ACAGGGGAACAGGGGTGGCGAGACTTGTCCCTGAGTGGAGACAGAGGGTGGGGGCTCGGGATTTCCAGCATTTAAGGGTGAACTCGCCCGCTCAGTGAACCTCTTGAAATACAAGGTTAGAAGACACGAGTCGGCTGTGGCCAAGTGGAAAGAACCCTGGATTGAGAGTCAAAGGGCTGGATTTAATTTCCAGTTTGCTCTGCAATTTATTAGCCATGTGACCTTAGGCAAGCCACTTGACCTCTCTTTTTCCTGATCATCACACCCAAGCTCAAACATCATTACGAAGATCAGATGAGGTAACACAGGTGGAAGAAGTTTAAAAAAACGTAAAGTGCTAAAGAAATCTAGGCTGTAATTATTTCCCCTCCATTGGATCTCTAGAGAGTCTTCCCTCAAAAGTGAGTCCACTGACATGATGGGTGGTTCTCCAGAATGTAATCAGTGGGTGTCTCGAAAGTCCTAGATACTTCTTTCAAATGATTAACCAACTGCCCTGACAGGACTTAGACCTGGGGAGAGCCACATCCGTAGTGGGTCCCTTAGTGCCCATCCTCCAGACCGGTCCTAACTCAGGGTGGGGGTCTGAGGTCAGAGCTAAGGACCATTGTTCTGGTTGAGGCCAGAGGCCGGCGGACAGGCCTGGACTGTCTTTGGGGTCAGTTTGTAGCTCTAACTTCAAACGGGAGGCCCACCCTGAGGATCTTCCCGGACCCTCATAATCGAGAGGATTTCTCAGCCTCTGTGGAATGCCTCTGCGCGCTTGCTCTCTAGGGTAGGAGATTTGGCTTTGCCCTCTTTAGCTTCAGTGTTTCCGCCCACTCGAAAAGAGAAAACCCAGACTGGCATCAAGTGGATTCCACCTCCCAGTGACCCGATAGGACAGGGCAGGCTGCCTCTGGGTTTCCGAGGCTGTAACTCTTTACAGGGGAGGAAAGCTTAATTTTTTCCCTCCAAAGGTGTGGTTGGTGGTTTCAAACTGCTGGGGTTAGAAGCTCCATATGTAACCAATGTACCATGGCTCCCATAGTAATACTAATGATTAATTATGTGAGAAATAGATGAAATCATGCAGGTGGGAGTATGTACCTTGGTCCCTGATACAGTTGAAAAGTAGGAATGGGACCCAGCTTCTCCTAGGTGGAGAGTTGTCGAATACACTCAGGAGAGATGTAGAATGTGGAAAGGGCATTTATTGACTGAGCTGCCTTATGTCTATGTGGGTGGAGGAGCAAAGGGGTGCTGGGGAGCTGCTGCCTACCTATTCAGGAACAGAGGGCCAAAGTCCTCCCAGAGTGCTTCTGCCATTGCGTGGAGATGAAAGTAGCATCTCCTGAATCAGTCCTGGGCACAGGAGTGCCCCCTGAGCCCATGGTAATGCTGCCTCTGACCCCACTGACAGGCTAGTGATATGCAAATGAGAGGAGGGCAGGACCTGGGCTGGAGAAATGAACCAGGGCAGCAAAAGCTGCGGAGCGCATTTTAAATTATAAAATTAATGACCACATATGTTCCACATTTCCCTTCACATATGTGGTCCATCTTTTATTAATCGTATCTAAAAATGTAACCGCTTTACAGAATCTCTGGAGAAGGGGAAGAAGGAAACACGTCCCATAATGTCTCCCTCATAAACTTATGATACCATTTCAATATATTGCCTGCCCATCTTTCCCAGTATTTTAAACAATTATTCTCAGTGGGGTTATTGCTTTTTGTTTTGCTTTATAAATGTGCTCACCGAGGAAATAGAAAAAAGAAAAGTACTCACTGTATATATATATAACCATTTTTACATTTTATATATTTTCTCAATCTATACCTTTTAAAAAGTGGTATCCTAAAATTCATATTGCTCTACATCTTCCTTTTCCCCAGTACTAATAAATCTCAAATACCTTCGATGTTATTAAATATAATTCTGTTGTACTATTTCTTATGACTTTATAGGATTCAATTTTATTTACTATAATTATTTAATAATCCCCTATTACTGTACATTTAGGTTGTTCTATTTTGACATTTAACAAACATTTGTGCAACTAAACTTTTATTAATATTGTCAATTATTTTCACAGGAATATTTCTAAATGAACTATTGGACCAAAGGGAACACACATTTTTAGGTTACAAAATGTATTACCAAAATGCCCCCAGAAGCATGTCCAACTTGTCACCTCCACCAAATGCTGCTCTTACATCCCCTCCACCCTAGCCAACAAAAGATATTATTACCGGTTTTGAGTAACATTTTTTCATTCTTATAATTATGCAATATTGCAGCCTGCATTTTCAATAGTTAGTATTTCAAAAGCATTCTCATACTGCTAGATTTCATAGTTACCATAATTATACAAGATGTCAGCAAACAAATTTAATACACTTCCTTTTTTAAAATACACTTCCATTTTTCTTTGGTTGGATATTTAGGTTATTTTTCTCCAAAATATAATGCTGTAATAAACATCTTCTCTCATGAAACTTCCCCCCAGTTTTAGATTAATTCCATGAAGCAGACACTCCAAGTGGAATTGCATTAGTTAAGGGCACGCACAATTTTATGGTTTGGGCTACATGTTGCCAAATTGCTTTCCAAACGGATATAAGAGTTCATACGCTCCCCAGCAAGATCTGTGACAAGGCTCATTCAGGGCACCTTCACTAGCACTGAAGTCTACTATTTTTTTCCCAGTTGTCCATTAACAAGCATAATGAAGTATATGTTAATGTTTTCTTTTGTGTGTCTTTGATTGCTAATAAGGGTGGCATCTCCCCTGGTTTGTTTCCTATTTTTTATTTCTCTATAAATCATTTTGGTAAGCACTAAAAACTGATTGCTTTTTCTTTTGAGCATGTTTTCCCTATCTCAGACATGGTAGCCACCTTGCAGGTGAACAGGGGAGATGTTACAGTCGACCCAGGCACGCGGCAGTCACAGTAACCCCAATGGAGTGGAATTCTAACGCTCCTCCACTTTCGTGTCCGTGTCCGAGTGCCCCCCTCCCCGCCCCCTGGCTTTGGAAGGTGGCCAGGGACACTGAGTGAATTATGTCCGTTTTCTCCAGGGGCATGTCAGGAGGAAGAGTAGGAAGCGCCCCAAAAGGCTGGGGAAGAAAAACCAATCTCCCTTCTCTCCCGAGCTGGACCCACTAAACTGGGAGGCAGGGGTGGATGGATACTCAATAAACAAGGTAAGCATCGGTTTACTTGTGCTTACTTACTAATCCGTAGAGAACAATTCTGACACTGCCACGCGAGAATGTCATTCTCCCATTGTTCACCACAGCTTGGTAAGTAAGCACAAGTAAACCCATGCTTACCTTACTTATTGGCTAATCTCACATCTGCGAAGAGTTGGTGCTCTCATCGCAAGAGGGAAATGAGGCAGGTGCAGAGACTGGGAACTCCAGGGAGACGGGGAGGGGTGGCCTTTTTGCACCTGCAATCGGCTGGTACTCAAGGAAGCACCTGCGGGGCCATTGGTAGGTTCTTGGGGAGACCTGGTCCCAGCGTGGGCCGTGTTTATTTCCACCTGGAGATTCAGCATGGAAGAGAATTTGTTTTTAGTGGTTAAGTGCATAAGCTTCCCCAGCCGTCTCGCGGGTTCATTTGGGGGACCGCGTGCGCGAGGCTGCCCCGCACGCACGCGGTCCGGAGAGCCCGCGGTTGGAGCTGGCGAGGCCGAACCA